AAATTAATGCAGAACACCATGAAATTCCAAAAGGTTCACATAGTTTTTCTTGCAACTGTATCTTCCATTATGGGCTCCCACTAATTGCCCATCCATATTTCTTAAGCAATATAGTGGCATCATATGTTCTCAACTTATTCATTGTGCTTAATGTTTGAAGAATCTCAGACAGGCCAAATGTGCTTTAGCTCTAAGTATACTCCATATTCTTCATATGAAAGAAGGCAACAGTTTAAATTAAATCTTTAGTCTATAGCTTTGAACTTTGTCATACCAAAGAGAATGTGCCAAGGTACAATAATGCTGCTATTTATATAGTACTTCTTGCTTTGCTTAGGGCCTGTTAGGAAATGTTTAGAACATTTTCAGAATGAGATATGGAAGATCATCAAAGTTAAGCAATTGTACATTTTATCTTGGTCAAAAAATGTAGTCAGTAGCTCCCTCTCTCCCCACCCAGTATGCCCCAAACAAGCATACTTGTGCATATATGCACATCACATAGATTCAGACTTTCTACATGCAGCAATTATTGTTGTGCTTGTCTCAGCATTCCTTGCTATTTTGTTGCACATAACAAGCCATGGTCTGATTAAGTTGGTTAAATAAGCCCTACATTTCATCTTAAGGGTATAAGTTGTAGCTCTTTGCTTTTTAACATCATGCTTTATCATTGCTCCCCCTCTCCTTTCCATTTAGTTTAATAGTCAGCTAGTAATGGTTTTCAGCATACATGAAAGTTTGCACATTCCTTAGTTGGCTAGAACAGACCTATCACTCTTGTATTTTAGCTGAATAGCATGTCTGTTTTTCTATGAGAAAGAGATTGAATTTAGTATGCAGTACCAAGTAAATGCTTCCTTATTGTTAAAAAGAAACTCTCTAGAATATGAATGCATGTGCGCACACACAGCACAGCACAAACTTTTGGGCTTCCTTTAATAGATCTTGTAGAGAAACTAGTGTGGTAGTAGATGGTGGTTTTATTTAGCTATGTAAAGTTAAATGTATTGGGAAATGCTTGCATGTGGGATAGGCAGGATACACTTTAGAGCAGGGATGGGCAACCTGCAGGCCTTAGGCAAACTTCACATTGTCTTTGGCCTAATTTCAGAACTTCTGTGCAAGAAAGTTCAGCTGTCTGTCCCTTCCCTGCAGCCTGGCAAACAGAGAGGAGGAAGAAAGTATCTGAAAGGAGGAGGTGGTCAGAGCGCAAATGGATCTCCCCACCAACATTCACTTTTGGCTCTGGCTCCACTCACTGTTTGCTTGAGTCCCACCTACGATATGGCCCGCAACGGGGAAAAAAGATTGCCCACTCCTGCTTTAGAGGGTTTGCAAGTGATCTGATGTTGGAAGATAAGCAAGAGCTCTTTTTAGAGAATGTTCTGCCTTTAGGCAGTATTTGGAGGAGCTGCTGCTAGCTTCCTGTTCTTCAGCTCCATGTATAGAGTAGAGAGGTACCCGTTGCCTTCATCTCATCCTTTCCCCTCCCTCCCAGCCCCACAGAGCCTGCTATCCTGCCCAGACAGAGCAGCTTATCCAGCGGATCTTACAGGTGAGTGGCTAGGCTAATACCTGTTACGGCATTCGTGCCAGTCTTATCCAGCCACATGCCCTCCCTGCCTTGGGGCTTATTTTGTCTGGGAGTTACACATACATCTCCTCACTGGCCCTCTACTAGTCTCTGCCCGTACAAACTCAGACCAGCTTTTGGACACCATCAATGTTAAGGTGGTTCCAGTGATCTAAAGAGGCTTGCTGGACTGTATTAATAGTTCATGTAGTCCAGTGTTTTAAAAACAACCTGTTTGAAAGTTACTGTATTTTTCTTTTCTTGCTGTGCTTTCTTTTCTTTTTTTTAACATTTATGTCTGCCTCCTAAAAGTTGCACGTGCTTTTCATTGTGCCAGAGCTTTCATGGTTGGCATTAGGTCAGCAATAGGCTTCATTGGTGAACAAGGGTTAATATAATATAATAAAACTTTTTTTTCTGCTTTTACACTTTGTCCGGCTTACGAGAGACATTATGTTACATCTGTGAGATGGATTCAGGTTTTTTTTCCTCTTTATTTTAGGACAGTCACTTTATTTATTCCTTCAGTCCTATTCAAGGCCTTAACAAGCTCTTCATACGTTTGGCAGAAGTCCCTACTGCAAAGGTAAGAACTGCAAATGCAGGGCGTTACTGGAATGAATATATAGAGGTTCCCAGAAGGCGTTTTTCAGTCTATTAAAATGTTATGAAATGCCTACTGCATTCCATATTCTGACCTTTACAAAGCAGTAATAAAGATATAAAAACTCTGCATCTGTTTGATGAAAGATTGCTTTTCTAAAAGTTGTTTTTTCGCATTTGAAAAGACATACCTGTAAAATATACTGACTGTATGAGACACTCTACTTTCTGAGAAGCCATTACACTGTGTGAACTTGTTTAGAACCTGCTATGCTGTCTGCATGTTTTTCATACATTGAAATGGAAGAATTTTCAATGACTCTCTGTTCCTTACAGGTCAAGCTGCTGATAGCTGCCTATAGAGTGCAATTGCAGTGACTTCATGAGTGATGCAATTATTTTATTGGAATTCTTTGCTCATTTGAGTCTGATCAAGAAGTTTGGAATTCCTGGTGCATTCAGTGTTCTGTTCAATCTCACTTTATTTTGTTTGGATGCTCTTTATATGTGAATCTTCCGAAAGTAGCAGGTATGCTGCTTCAAAAAATTGTGTGAGGTTTTTTATTTTGTAGATATAGCTGTATTTGTGTCAATGACTGTAATTCAGTTTTTTATATTGTAAGGCTCATCCCAGCATTTCCACAGTGTGGAATGATACAAACACAGTTTTAAGAGCAAATATCTTGGTTGTGTATAAATGCTCACATTTTGTCCTGACTTTGATGTTTATATTTAAGCTTTTTTTTTAAGCAACCAGATCTAATTTCTATTGCTGTTACAACAAATAGGCATTTTTACTTAATAAAGAACTTCTGTGACTAAATTATCTGAGCAGAAGTTTAATATAAGAGAAATTTAGGAAGGGTCAGTTATAAAGTATGAACAAAATTCATATCTAGAGATATAACTGTAGTGGTAGTGTTTTGATTCATGAAGTTTAATAGGTTCAGGCAAAAATAATTTTACAGATACATTTGGGCTATTTTTTTAAGGCGGACATATTTATAGATTTATGCTGAACTCCATCCATGTAATGCTCCCCAAATGATTGAATTGTTGCCCTGATCAAATGACAGTAATCTATACTAGTTCTGAGAGAAAAATGTAAGACGTGCATAAATCCTAATTTGTATGTAAAATTAAACTTTGTTAGTCAAACTTCAGCTTATGTCTTCTGCTATTTAGTTTAGTGTCAGGTCATCAAAAAACTAGTAGGAAGCTTAATGGTCAATTAAATACTGCTATATTTAATCTCAAACTGCTGAATGACAGCGTAAATCTTAATAGCTGGTTAAGGCCAGCATTGGATATGTCAACTTCCCTTAACAAGACAAGACAGAAAGAAGAGATTCCATAAATATTCCTTCTACTTAATATATACCCTCTTGTGGCAGTATTTCCAAACAAATGTCACTGGATTATCTGTGGGTTAGTGCTTTGGTTATATTTATGTTATGCAATGCTGACATTTCAGCTCCTTTCTTAGGAGCTGATGACTGGAAGTATAACAGAAAATGCTGATGTCCCTCTAAAGACCATAAATTTATAATACAATATAAAATGCACATATTCTGTAATAGCTGTACTTCATTATAGTGCATTTGAAACTTTTATGACTTATTTCCTGTAGAAATCTAAGAGAACTGCTTTTTAAAAGCTGAAGTTTCTTAAGCTTTCCCATAGAAATAATTTGTTTATGCTGACTCCGCTCAGCCGTTGCTGCCTTTGAAGGGAAGTCCTAGAAGGAAACCTTTGACCCCTTGAAGCAGATGGGACTGCCGCAATATTCCCCTTTACAAAAATGGATGGTATAAAGATTCTTTTTCTTCAAACTTCTGATCTCTGCCACAGATCAGGCACATAGGACAGTATTTGTGGGTATCACCAAGTACAGGTGAAACTCGAAAAATTAGAATATTGTGCAAATGTTCATTTATGTCAGTATGGCAACTCAAAAGGTGAAACCAATATAATGAAGTA